TTGAAATGATAATAGTAGTTAAAGCATTTAAAATGTAATTACCTGGTGTTTCTTAAGTGTCTTGAGCATTGTAGACCTTTCTCAGGGACTTAGATGGGAGAGACTGGTGCTACTGCACGTCCTCTGAAACCAGTGAACAGACTCGGAGATAACTCAGTCTCCCCTCTAGGCCGCCCTCACCAAGATGCCTCAGTGTCTGTGCCTTTTTGACTCTGGGTTCCCCTGCTCATCTCTGGACTGATGCCTGTTGAGGTGTGATTGGCTGCCGCTGGCTGGCTGAAGCTTTATAAAATTCCAATGTTGTAAACAGGTGGCAGAGCTCCTGAGCTGTATGGAGTCTTGGAGTTGCCTTTGTGACTGAATTCACATTGCACTGTAACTGTACAGAAGCAGGGTCTCAAGGTGTCTGGTGCAGGGTGGAAGGCACTCCTGCAAAAAGCAGTAGAAAGGGGGCACTTCTGACAGTGGTTGTGGGAAAGATGGAGGAGCCACAGGAAAGGAGGGTCAAGAGGTAGGACCCCTGGACAAGGGATCTGGAGTCTTAGAAGAAGCCTTGGGAAAGGCTGCTGGACTTTGTCAGGCAAAAGGTTAGTGGTTTAGAACCTGAAGCTGTACTTTTCTCTAGTAGAGTGGGTGCTGGTGCCTGACCAGGTGGTTTCCTCTTTTTTCCCTTTAAAACCCAGTTTTAGTGCACAGGGAGATACCAGATGGAGGTGGGCCCTGCGTTGCACAGAGTAATACATCATCTAAATCATGCCAGCGTAGGCTGGCAAGGAAAAAAATCAAGCAGATTGTCTAGTTAGCAGTATGCAGCTAAGTGCACGTCCATGCACATGCATGCACACAAGCAGGTCATTTGTATATATTCCCTTTCTGTTAAAAATTGCATGCAGAATAAGCTTTAGGCCTGTCTAGTTTGCTCAAGCTGCCATAACAAGTACCACAGTCCACCTGGCTTAAACAATAGAAATTTATTTCCTCACAATTCTGGAGGCTAGAAGTCTGAGATCAAGGTGCCTTTAGGATTGGTTTCTTCTGAAGCCTTCTCCTTGGCTTATGCATGGCTACATTTTCCCTTTGTCTTTATACTGTCTTCCCTCTGTGCCTGTCTGTGTCCTAATGTCCTCTTCCTATAAGGACAGTAGTCCTGTTGGATTAAGGATCAGCTTAATGACCTTGTTTTGATTAATTACGTCTTTAAAGACCTTATCACCCAGTGCATTCACATTCCGAGGTCCTAGGGATAAGGACTTCAACAAATGAATTTTGAGGGGACACAGTTTAGTCCATAGCAAGATCCTACTGGGCTTTTCATTATTTGGGGCTGTAAATAAATGTGATCCCTTAAGAGAGGTTGGTGACTTAGTTATATTCAAAAATATAACTGATTTGCTCAGAAGCATTCATTGAGCCCCCCAGGGTTACAGAGTTAAACACGGCATGGTTTGCACTCTCACAAGGTTCAGGTAGGAAAGTGTACAATTTGGCCATGGGAGTGATGGTAGAGAGGGTAAGGCGCCCTTCTGAAACCCTCAGAAGAAGAGCATTTACAACCCAGCTTCAATGACATCTTGCCCAGAACTGTGATAGAAAATTAATAAAGGACTTTAATAGCATGTGCTGTTTTCTCAGGATACCAGATTAAACAATAGGACTTAGGGATGGTCAGGACCTGAAGGCTACCCTATATCCAGCCATCCCATATTTCACGGGGGTTGAAATGGAAGTATAGTCCTGTGGGGTGCCCTGCCCAGGATCACATACTGAGCAGAGCCAAGAATCCTGCTCGAGTCAGAATCAGCCTCTCACAGGTGTGCTACCATTTCCAGTCTTAAAACTTAATTCTCCAGCACCTCTGGAAAGTTGTTTTTGGAACTCTTTGAAACAGAGCTCAAATGCTACCTAACTCATTTTCTGTAAGTTAATTACATCTTGGTCCTAAAACAATATTCTGAGACTTTTTAGAAGTAGTTTACTTAAAAATTGTTATCCAGCTTAAAAAGAAACACTGGCATCCAAAAAGAGAAAGCTTACCCATAATATAATTTACTGTAAAAAAAGATTCAAAACACCTACTTACCACTTTGGAGAGTTTAACCCTTTCACTTTTGCAGGGCTCCCTACTGATGTTTGCTTTAGTGTCACCCCAGATCCCATGCTCCTCTTTCCCTAAATCACACAGTATTGATCTGGGAACTTCTCTCACATTTTGTGAAGCCTTCATTCAGTTTGCCTCATCTCTTAGGAGTAATAAGTTTTTTATGTTTGAATTAGTTATTTTTATATTTGGCTTAAATTTACATCTTAAGAATTCTCTGTCCACATCCCTGATCCCAGTGTTCTGAATTTAGGGAACAAGTTCATATTCACCATTCCTGTACCATTTGTGGTTTCCAAAATTACTCTCAAGTTCCTTCAGAGTTTATAATAAATTTTTAGATTGAAGGTTATTAATATAATCCATATTGTTTATAATCCTGACCTTGGTTTTCTTTCCTCATCAGTGAGCCAAGTGCCATGATCAGGCAGGCACACACCTGTTTTGTAGGGGTACTTGGACCATGGATTTATCGAAAAGCCTGATAATGCTTTCAGTGCTGCTGAAAATGCCCTTATCAAGAATAACCAGCATCAATCAACATTTAAGGGCATAGTATACACCCCTGGTGTTTGGGGGTGATTCCATCTGAAGCATATTTATGTGGAGGGGGTACGTTTGCACACTCTTATGCTTGCTTTTAATGCCACGCTTTTGCTAAACATGGAGGCAGCCACATGTGGCCACCTTCCCATCCCCAGCCAGTCAAACTATACTTTGTTAGATTTGCTGAGGAAGGCTGTGAGTCAGAGCCTGTCTTTGTACTAGCACCTAAAGTAAGCACCTTCTGGACTGTGCAGGTGGACCTGCAAACTTTGCCTTGATTGCACATAACTGTACCAGACCTGAGTGATTCATAGGTGACATGTGCATGGAATTTACAAGAAGTGGTTTTTCAGGAAAATATGTAAACAGACTTCATCAAGGCCTACTAAGGAGCTCCCAGCCCCCAACCTCTCACTCTCCCTCTAAGGCCAACATATTTTAGGTGTTTCATTTCTATCATTTATATTTAGCATCTATAATTTCAGCAGACTCATTCGGAATTTCCTTTCCTCCCACATTGTATCAAGCAGATTGCTAACATACCACAGGAGTACCCCAAGGAAGTTGGAAAACATAGGATAGGATGAATATCTATCTTTATATGTTAGTTGTTTAGCCTTCAGCCATTTTCTGGCTTAATTGAGCAAGAAGGAGCTTTCATTTGAAAAGTGGATGAAGGATAGTGTGGTTCATCTTCTAAATGGGCTGCTTGACTTCCCCTATATTGCATTTGTAAGCACTGTCCATATTTGGTAGCTGAATGTCAGTATCCATACCTCCATCCATGAATACATGTAAACAGTTGTTCATTATGTGCAGAGCGCTAAAAGGACATGAAAATGAAGAAGGTGCATCCTTAACCTGGAAGCTGATAGAGCCCTGGGAGAAAAAAGACAGAACAGAGAGGAGGGCAAGAAGGTGTATATATGTGAGCTCTGAAATGATAGGAGATCACTATGGAGATAGAGATAGAACTTCACCTGGGCCTAGAAGAATACCACATTTAGGGGGAGGAGAATGAGTTTTAGGCAGAGGAAAGAGTTCATGTTCAGGTTCAGCCTCTGTGGCTTGCTTTGTGGCAGAGCACAGAGTAGAGGGGAAGAATGGAAAACAAGATTAACTCAGAAATGGCAATGAAATGAGGGGGAGCTTGGAGGCTGAGTGGCACGTGATTTGATAGAAGCCACAGAGAGGTGGGGTGGGTTCTTTAGCAGGAGTGACAGCTGAAAGAGCATATACATGTTAGCAGAGTGGCTTGGAAATGTTTATATCAATGAGTCTACATTCCCCCAGAGTCTAAATAGCTTGTGGAACAGATCAGTGCACCTGTTATGTTTTATATGTCTTTGGTTTTTTAGCTAAGTGTGATAATATGGAATGACATTTTATGGTGATGCTGATGAAGATCTAGTATTGAGGGGACGAGGGAATTGGAGATGAAAATGAAAAGCATTGTGAATGAAAGAAGGGAATAGGAAAGCAGAATGAATGCTTTGACCCAGCAATTCTACTTCTAAGTCTTTACTGAAGAGAAATGAAAACATTCACACAGAGACCTGCAAATGTAAATGTTCATAGCTTTATTCATAATAGCTGAAAACTGGAAACAATCAAATGTCCACTAATTGGTGAATGGATTAACAAGTTCGGTAACTCCATATAATGGAATACTACCTAGTAATAAGAGGGAACAAAGTACTGATTCTTGTAACAACATGGATGAATCTCAAAAGCGTAAGTTGAGTGAAGAAAGTCTTTGTAATCAAACAGACTACATCCGGTGTGAGTCCATTTTATAACATTCTAGAAAAGAAATAGAAAACAGAGCAGTGGTTTCCAGGGGCTGGGCGTTGGGGGAAGGGATTCGGAGGGCACGAGGGAACTTTCATGGTGCAGGGCAGAGAGGGAATAAACATGGAGAGGTCAGAGAGAAGACCGACTTTTGTCAGTGAAAAGAGTGGGGAGATAGGAGAAAGAAAAGAAGATGTAGAAAAAAATAGAAGAGAGAAGAAGTAATGTAGGGATTCCAATAAGAGCGAGTAACTTCAGACTGCTGGGAAATATCTTTGGCAAACATCTACCCCATTACTTTTCTATTACTGTTTGCTAAGCCAGAAAAATAAATTTATTAGCTAACAGGTCTTTTTTATTGTATCTCAGTGAGTAGTAAAATATCCCGTAAAAAAGAGGTCTCTAAACCCAAGAGAGAACACAGTAAGGAAAAAGAATCAAACTTTTGAAGACTGTCGTGACGGCCTTGTTCATGAAGCAGTCACATGGGCTGCAAGGATTGCTGGGGCCCAGACAACATGACATGTAGGATGCGGTGTCACTGGCATCTACAAAGATTTGGCTGTCAGCAGCAGCAGGGCTTACGGGGTCCTTCACAGCAAGGCTGAGTGTGGGTCATCTGGGAGATCCCTCTCAGTCCAGGGTGTGGGTGGCAGGAGCCAAGCAGCCAGCAAGATGGCACAAAGGTGTCGGGCTGATACCAGGGTGTGGGGTACGACCAGGCGTGCAGCAGGTCGGCTGGAGGAGGTGCTGGGCAGGCAGACCCCACACAGGCAGCATTTGTTGGAGGAGCAGACGGTGGTGGCCAGGCCTTTGGGGACGCTGCAGCAGTGCTGAGAGGAGGTCCCACAGCAGGGCATAGATAGGAGTTGGGGTTTTGTTTGGCTGAGAGCCTGAGTGTCTCAGTGACCTCCCCTCTGAGCTAGTGTTTATATACTCGCCCCTCCCTGGACTCAACCATTATTCTGGATTATTTTTTTCTATTTCTTCTTATAGTAATCTCCATAAAAATGCCTAATCACCTCGGTCTTTATTATCTTTAGATGTGTGTCTTACCTCCCTGTCTTATTGCCAAATTAGTACTCTTGACCATAGCTGTTAGTCACTGCAGGGAGAGCTTCCTTTCAGTCTCCAAAGGCACTGAGTTGTCATCTAATCACTAAATAGCGTTGTTGGTTGGTCGGTATGTTAATTATCTACCATTCTTCATCACATTTTCTTTCTTTATAATAAAAACGCATTATTATAGAAATTTTTTTTAAATGTAAAAGGAAAGGAAGTAGTTTAATGAATGTCATGTTTCTATCACCCAACTTCAACAATTATAGCATTTTGCCATTTTTAGTTTATATATCCACTTTCACACTTTTTTCCCTGGAGTATTTTAAAAGGAGTTCCCAAATATTTTATCTTTTCATCTGTAAAACTTCAGTGTGAGCTCTAACACATCTTTAAAAAAAGATGTAACCACTGTATAATTATGGTACTCAACAAAGTTAGCATTATTTCCTTATTATCAACTAACACACTATCTGTATTCAGTTTTCCCCAGGTGTCTCAAAAATGTCATTTTACAGTTGGTTGATCTGAATCAGGATCTAAATATAGTCTACACATTGCATTGGGTTGATGTGTCTCTGAAGTTTCTTGGATTCTCAAACTGTTCCCTGTCCATATGCTTGTTTTTTAATGCAATGTAGTTGTTTAAGAAAGAGGGCCATTTGTCTTGCAGAATTTCCCACATTCTAGATTTGGTTGATTGTAGCCTTGCAGTGGTAAGTGACATGGTTCTGTGTGCCTGGTGTTTCTTGTAAATTTGTAATGATGTCTGAAGACTCAGCCACCTTAGGTTGATTTGCTTTTCAGCAAAGATACTTCATAGGTGGAACTACTATATTACATCAGGAGGCATACAATGTCTGGTTGTCCCACTTTTAGTTTTGGTAATAGTTACCAACAAGTTAAGTGGTATCCACCATGTCCATCCATTATTGAGTTCCACATTGACTTTTTATGGTTTAGGCAACTGAGCCCATTCTGAAGGCATTTCTTGGGACAGGTCTTTTTTGGGAGGGGCCAACTTGGGGAGCTGGCAGGCCTTGCTTGGGGTCCTAGAAGATGATCATCTAGCTAACACCTCAAGATGTAGAGTTACTGGTTGCAGTTATGGAACAAAATCCTTTTGGAATTTCAAATTTTACTGTTGTATGTTTGAAAGTAGGTAAACTTCCAATTCTGATTACTTGATCCTTACCTCATTGGATTCTTGAGTTATATATAAGTATACAGAGATTTTATTGTTATTGGTTTGAGAATTAAGATTACTAAGAATTAGTATTTCATAATTTCAAGATAGGTTCTGGTATTTAATCCATAGAGTAATGCATGCTTTCATGTCAGAAATACCTAGATTCCAGTTCTAGTTTTACAAAATACTATTTGATAATGGGATCTGGTTTGACTGTACCAAAATAGGCCCAAATAATAGTGGTTTAAACAAGACAGAGGTTCTTTTCTGTCTTTTGGAAAATTCATTAGTCAGTAGGCAGCATGGAGAGTGGAGGAGCTTGTCTGCCAAGCCAGTCAGGGATGCAGGCTTCTGTCTGATTACCCAGCCCAGGTGTCAGCCTCATTTGCGTGGTTGAGAAACTGGCTCATTACCACCCCACGTTCCAGGCAATGGTAAAGAAGAGAACTATAAGCAGCCCCTGTTATGGGGAATAAACCTGACTTAAACTGAACATAATAAAGTTAGATTTGAGGGGGTGAAAAATGGCTGAGAAAGGCATGCTCCACTTCCTCTTACAGCTCATTGGCCAGAACTCAGTCACATGGCCCTTGTCTAGCTGCAGGTTGGCTGGAATAATCAGTGTGCAGCTAGGCAGTGATGAGCACGTGTAAAAAACCCAGGGTTCCACGCCTGAAAGGGAGAAGGAAAGGAGGGGTATTGAAGGTCAGTTGGTACTCATGATTGAATCTCTCTAAGCTTCGGTTTTTTCATCTGTAAAATGGGGATGAAAATACCCCGTGTTGTGGCTGTTAGAGTCACATGCATGAGTGGATAAAGTCATGGAGCATCTGATTCAGACCTCTTCACATTTTAGGCTCTCAGTCAATCGTTCCATCTTTTTGCAGCCAGGGGTGGGGCAGCAAAGCGTCAAGTCATCCCCAGGACTTGGGCTCTTGGTAAATCTGGGTTTGCGTCTTTGTTAATTGCCAGTTTTGTGACTGAGGACATATCTAACTAGCCTCTCTGATTATCTGTAAAATAGGGGTTAAAACTTGTGAGAATTTAAAGAAAACGTACACAAAGATACCTAGTGCAGTGCCTGATGTGTAGAAGATAGACAGGCAGAAGCAGCAGCTAATGGCTGAGTGATCGGTGTGTGTTTTCTTAGGTAAGCATTCCTGGTCAGGAAAGTTATTATGTAAAGTTAATTTGAAGAGGATAGCTTCTAAGCAGTTTCAACTGGTGACATAAAAATAATACATGTATTTTCAGTTGGAAAACTTGCAGCTTAAACTTAAGCCAGTGTTTTCTAAAGAGATCTCTGAGATGTACAGGCATTGGAGTCACCAGTAACAATGCAGCTCTGATCTGAATCTCCCAGAGGGGTACAATTCCACACATTTTTACAAATATACCTCTAAGATGATCATTATCATACTCAAGTTTAAGATCTCATGTCTAATCCACAGTATTTTTTGAGATATTAGAATACTTGTACAGTATTTTGAGAGAAGAAAGAATAATTTATTTTATCTAATTTCAGATAAAATTAGAGCTCTGGGTTTTTTAAATGGACTCAGGGATGAGATTTTTTTCCCCCAAATGGTTGCAATTTAAAAAATAATAAATGTTTGCTCTAAATTCTTCTTAGTTATTGCGAAACCAGAGATTTCCTGCATCGTATCATCATGCAGTGGAAACTGTTGTGAATATGCTGATGCCGCACATCACTCAGAAGTTTCGAGACAACCCAGAGGCATCTAAGAATGCGAATCATAGCCTTGCTGTGTTTATCAAGGTGGGGGCCTCCAGGGAAGAGGGTGTTGGCTAAATGACTAAATGTTCTTTCTACTGGGTGCTCAGTCAGTGTCAAGGGCACATTTACACTGAAGGATAAGTTTGTTAATGATAAATGCTGATTTGAACCCAACTTTCCAGAAACAGTTTTGCCCTAAATACTTACCTTTGTGGGTTCCATTCACAGAGATGTTTCACCTTCATGGACAGGGGCTTTGTCTTTAAGCAAATCAACAACTACATAAGCTGCTTTGCCCCTGGAGACCCTAAGGTAGGTAGCTTCTTTTTGTTCCTTTCTTTTTGTTTTACTAATTGACATCCAGAAATCCACTTACTGCTGTGGATTCTCATCAGAATTTTCTCTGTCCCAGAGGCACTACTCACTTGCTTCTCTTGGAGATGCTAACTTACACTTGCATTAACATGGGAGATATTAGGGACACAGTAATTCTGAATATACCTGTTGATTTTCTCATAAATACCTGAAATGACCTCTCAACTGCAAAACTCAAAATATGTATTGTGAATCATAGTTTATTTAACAAGTTAACAGAAGTAACCATGTATCTTTCGCTGGTAGAATTATCTGTCTGTTCCCTCTTTTAAATTATCTGTCTGGTCTGTTTTAAAGCTCTCCCATACTTTTTTTTTTAGCATATTGAGTCTGTATCTATAATTGTAAGCTGCCTGCAATCCTTTATTGAAATAGAAGGAGCTTAAATAATAAATGCCCTGAAAGTCAGTGAAGGACATTATTTCATAAAGTGTGTTCCCAATTTTCAAACAAAGCCCTGCAACCATTTAAAAATCTGTATAATAGCATAGAGCATACAATTCTAAGAGGGCCAAGAAGCTAAAGACTGGGTGTATGATTTCTAACAGTTTTTTTTAGGGTGCTGTAGAAAGGATCCAGTGAGGTATTTAACTTACAACAAACTTTTTTTCTACAGACACTCTTTGAATACAAGTTTGAATTTCTCCGTGTAGTGTGCAATCATGAACATTATATTCCTTTGAATTTACCAATGCCGTTTGGAAAAGGCAGGATTCAAAGATACCAAGGTAATCTACCTTAATCTTTTGCAGAGAGCCATTCATTTATAAGAAAAGAGGTTTGATTCAAACATGACATTTGAATTTTGTGATTTTTTTCATTGATCAATTTTTTCTTGTTAAATTTTCATTTAGAAAAAATAATTGATAAAATGTTATATAAGAACTCTTAAGTGAACTTATCAGACTACACAGATGATACCAGTGTGACTCTTTTTCATTGAAAAATTCCTTTGCTTAAACAGTAGAAATCCATTTTATTTACTGTAGTTTATTTTTATTTGTTTCACTTTTCCTTTTTTCTTATGAATTAGCTTTTCTTTCACCAGCTGTGGAGTCAAATGACACTCCTGTAGGTAGGTGTGGGATATGACGCTTGCTTTCTTGCATTTTCCACCTTTAAAAGAAAAAGAATGCAAGTGCTTGCTGAAATGCTCACATATGCTATCCATCTAGGCATTTCCCATCAACTTGGATCGTTTTCAGATTCATGATAAACCAGTAAATTTGTCCTCACTGTAGCTGAGACATTGCTATAGTCCCCACGCGGCACCTCGGGCTTGCTCCTGGGGTCATTAGATCCTCTATGATGTTTCTTTAAGAAGCAAAACAAACCAAAAGCCCTGTTTCAATTTCACTCCAAAAATGAATTATTCCACCATTTTCATAGTCCTTGTCCATAGTGGTGGCAGTAACCTGAGTCACAACACGGCTTTTCACATGCATTTATGTTTGCATGTCGAGTCTTTATCAACTGTCTGTATCCTTTTTTAAGTTTGAACAGAGTTAAGCTCATAGAGATTTCCTTGTCTTCACTAAGTAAGCCAAATCAATCAAATTAGGCTATAAAGTCTGTC